AGCTAATATCCGTAATTAGAGACCACTTACCCTTCTCATAGTGGTATATAAGCTAGCAGCAAAAGCTTTAACAAACCGTATGAGCAAAGTCATTTCTGATATTATTCACCCCACTCAAACTGGTTTTATAGAAGGAAGGAGTATTCAAGACAATATATTACTCGTAAATGAATTAATTAAACTCTCTAGGCAATCCAAACACAATGCAGCATTCATATTCATAGATTTTGAAAAGACCTACGATCATGTTGACTGGTTCTTTTGGATAAATGCCTACAAGAGTTTAACTTTGGGCAGGAGTTTAACTTTGGGCCCAACTTCAGGAAATGGATTGAGATCCTCCATTCAAACGCCACAACTAGAGTCATGATAAATGACAATTTGACCCCCGCTATCGATTTGGAACGCTCGGTAAGACAGGGAGATCCAGTTGCCCCCTTCCTTTTCGTCATCATAATGAAAGCACTGGCAGCAAACTTGAGAAGAAATAATGACATTAAACGAATACAGGTAAGCTATATCCCAGAAGAAGCTATACCCATATGCTCCCTGTTTGCAGACGACCTCTCATTGATGATCGGGGCTTCTCGTGAGAATTTAACAGAAATTAAGAGACTAGCCTCGGAAGTACCAAGCGGGACTGATCCAGTGATATGGCTAGAAAATCGATATTGGTCCATCCCTAGAGGCAAAGCGCCGCTACAGGGCCAGCCAGTGGAATCCCATCGCCAGGCCACACGAACAGACCTATAACGGCCCTTTCTGGACAGACGTACTCAAGACTTTACGCAAATTGCCCCTACTGGATAAAATCCCCCCAACTAGATAGGAAGAAGTCTGTCAAGAACCTATTTTCAATAACAGATGGATCACAGACTTACAAGGAAGAATGTTTCACTGCATGGATTCCCCTTCGAAGGGATGGGTAAAGCATGGGGTACTAAGGATTGGATACACATGGAACCTATAAACATCGGACAACCATTCTCTTGCCGACCTATTGCCTAGCTTACGGTACTGCAGGGGAACAGCAGGTGCACTCGAAAATGTTATTAAGGTCATTCCGATAGACTGGATGAGGATACTTAGGAAAGACCCCCAGCTAAAAGAGAGTGATTGGGTTGGAATCCAAGGGAACCCACAACAAATAGGAAATATTGTAATGACAAACGGAAGGGGATCAGTCTTACTCTCATTATTCTTTATTAACCAGAGCAACAAGATAAAAGAAAGTCCTACTAAAGAAACTAGATGGATAAATGCTAATCGGGTATTCAGGATTAGAGTGTTGAAATACAAAGATCATTGGATTGCCTTCAAGCCAACGTGTGCAATTAATAATCTACCACTAGACCCAATTTTTTGGTCATGGTCAGCCCCCATTAGGGGCCGAAAAAACTGTATTCGAAAAATTCACTCCCTGTCGGTCAAATCAACCTACAGAATGTTGAGGCCCAGATTAGAGTTGAGAGAATGGGTAGAAGCCAAGTGATGAAGCATCTGAATGTGAGTAGAGAAAACCTTAGATACATCAAGTGGTTTAAAACTATTAAGACCAGACCGTTAAAAATCGCCTCATTACAATGGCAAATCGACCATCGGTGCCTTCCTACAAACGATTGGTTGATAGATAGAACCTCGCTGGAGGAAAAGGGGCTTGCTTTACCTTGGTGTAAATTATGCTCCTCTGTGTTCCCATCCAGGAACATCCCAGAAACCATAGAACACATCTTTCTGCAATGTCGGGGTGCGGTGTGGCTATGGCGCTGGTGGGACAGGATCTGGAGTACCCTTCATACCTCTCTGAAGTGGCCATGGGATTGGAGGGCTCTATTATGTGAGACCTGGACACCGGACCAGCAAGATGATTTTTCCAGCAATTTATTTAAAACCAGCCGAAGGGCCATCCTCTGGGCCCTCTGGAATCGTCGCTGTACTTTCGAAATAAAAGGTGCCATGTTGGACTGCCCCGAACTTACTGAAGCAATCAAGCTGCAAATACAGACAGTTATCACAGTTCAATGGAATAAAGTAAAAGAAAGATTGGAAGGATTAGAGAAAGTGGGGTCAGGGAATTGTTCAAAGGAGGGCAGATGAAGGAAGTACAAAAGGACTACCGCCTGATTTTTCTGGATTGGATAAATGTTGATCCAACAATCCCCCTTTGCCCCTTATCAGAATTCCCGGACCCCTTCCCCCCCCCCTCATTAGCTCTGGTCCCCATAAGTTGGTATGGTTGTGAATGATTTTGATCTGTGAATCAAAACAGCAGGTCATGAGGTCAATGGGCAAAGAGACAGTGAAACAACACTATGAGGACAACTGAGGCAACATAATCAGCAGAGACACAAACCCATTCTTAGTACCAGGACTTATCGAGAAAGCTGGCGCCACTCAATTGAGGGTGAAGAGGTACAAAGAAAGCCGTCCGGCTGTTGGGTTTGGAAGTACCGAAGGGTAGGAAAGGAAGAACCAGTGTTTCAGCAGCAGATAGTTGGCGCCTGTACTCGGGCGAAGAGGTTCTTTCCCTTTCCTGAACAGCCTTCACAGTCAATCCTCTGGAGGCCAGAGTAATCAATGCTGGCAGGCACCCCAACTATCTTATTCATTCGTTCTGATTTGTTCTGCTCTCATGATTGTATATGGGACGCTGGACCCGCTTTCCAGAAGGTGATGCTCCCCAGACTTGAGGGAGCTCTCGGATGTCAGACCGCTCTTTGAGAGAGCTACAGGAGTTGTTGTCCCCCCAGACTTGAGGTGCACTCCAAAAAAATGCTCAACTTTCGAAGGTCCTGGATGCCTCCCTTGAAATTCCCGCCGCTGCGGGCGGGAGCTCTCGAAATGTCAAGAGTGCCAAGGAAGAGGACGTTCTGACAACTCAAGAAATGCATTTTGGTGAGTGTGTTTGATGAGGTAGTGGGCGAGGACGGATTCTCTCCATTTTCAGGAGTAGATACTGACAGCTCAAGAACCCGAATTCCAGACCTGGCGTGTAGAGCAAGTGGAGCTGTGCTGCGCTAAAGAAATGGCCGGTTTCTAGAGTAGTGGATCGAGACCCATATTTCCCCGTTTCAAGAGTGGTGTGGCGAGGCCCATAATTGCACTATGGGGCAGCCTACCTGGCCAGAAAGCTGGGTTGTATGCCCGAAATGCAGTTCGGAACTGTTTCTTGGTCCGTAGTGCAATTATGACTCAATTTTGTTTTCAGACTCCACTGTACTTTTAAACCCATAGCGCAATTATGACTCAATGTTTTTTTTTTTTTTGGGAAATTATGACTCATATTTGTTTTGAGACTCCCGTGTACTTTCCCCTTCAAAGAAAACAGAAAAAGCAAATAAAAAAGTTATTCCAATTTTGTTTGGTGCCGCGGTGCCCATCGACCACCAGCACGCCCCCCTCCCGTCATCGCTTTTTGAAGGGGCCCCAATGAAGGCCCCCAGAAGAAGTTGGATGGTCATTCGCACGTCCCGTCCGAATGGCAAGGGGGGTTTACGTACGGCAGTTCGGGTCATACGGACGGGGCCAGGGCTGACACTGGCACACTGCTGCGGCGGATCCGGCCGAAGCACCGCCCCTTCCGCTGGTACCTTTTCTTTCCCATCGAAAAGGGGGTTCTGACTTAATAATGCTGGAAACCGGGTCCAGTATCCCTTACATCAGATGTTCTAAATGAACACTTCTCTGGGCTCTGGCAAAAGAGGGATCCTGAGACAATGCTTCGCAACTGGAAGGATTTACCACTGCTTCACCCCTGCTTTTAAAAAAATACTGCTACTACTAGGACATTGATTGCTTCCCTCTGGAATGATCAACTGCCAGATCATAACTTGAGTTTTTTTTCGTGTTTTATACTCTATCCCCTAAGCACGCCCTTTGCTATTCTGTTCAGTGCTTAGCTGAAGAAATCGGCTGACCCTCTGCGCCATTCCTCTCAGTCTGCTGAAGCTGACTCCAGCCTGCTGGCCTTTCCCTTGGTACAAGCAGCCTCAGGCCCTCAGCTGACAAATATGCTTTTTCTTGGGTCGTTGGTCCCTCTCAGCCACGGCATTGAACTGCCAGATATAGGCTACTGAACCTTGGAAGTCAGAGCCGGCGTCTGAGAAGAGTTTTTTTTTCCAGCTTCGTTGAAACTCAAGATCCACTAGTGATAACCCTACTGACTTATCTTGCTAATCGCCTGAGGCCTGTTTATACTCACTTGTCAGTCATTGGGGACACTCCTAACGGTCCCAGAGCCACGCAAGTCCGGCACGTGACTCCCATCTCTATTACTGTAACAGTTCTTCTTCTCTGTCGCTAGCCGCTCCTTCTCAACGACTCGGAAGACTGTTTGGTACCGGGGTTGATGTGCTATTAAGCTGTGGTGCATCATTGGTTGGCATAACTAACGAGTTCTTCAATTCTCATCTATCTCCGTCTATGGTACCTGACTTGCCTTCCCTAATCTTAACGTTTTCAAATCTCCTGATGTCCCGCAGCTGGTACTTCCTCTAGGCACTACTGTAGAAAATTATCAGTGCTACTACTTCGGTTATTACTACCACTACGGTACTACCGCTTCCCCTTCGACACCAAAAATACTCTTGTTACTGCACCACACTACTCTCTCTCTCTCTCTCTCTCTCTCTCGGGTTGTCTGCGTCTCTCTGTAGCAGGCTGCTGAACTGTAGGCAGAAGGGGAAAACAACAAGAGTCAGGATGGAGATCCCCGTGGAGTATGGACATTTTCGTATTCAATATACATACACACACACACACACGCACACACACACACACACACGCACACACACACACACACAC